CTATTTTTTAAAATATATTTTTATTTAAAAAATTTTTTTCATCATATTCTGTAGGGACTTAAAGTTTAACATAACAATACTTGATGAAAAATACCTGTTCCGTGTTATTCCTAAGATGTTTGATATTCAGATAGTGAGGTTAAGCTCAACAGCCTAGGTTGTAGGGTAATAAGAATAAGCTTCTCTTCTGGAGGGTTAACAACTTAAGTTTGCAGACCAAAAATTAGAGAAAAAGGAGGGTCACAAGGAAAGACAACATTTTGGTCCTAGCCTTTCAAGGTCATGAAGACTCAGGACATATGAGAACTTGTACTGTAACATCATGTAACTCAGTTGTGTCCCAAATTTTCTGATCATGGAGATTATGGGGCCACAGAGGAAAGTGATCGATGATGTAGAGTGTACCTAAGGAGAGTCACATGGAGAAAAAACATTTTCTCAGGCTTTCAGAGAGCAAATTGGTCAAGCAATGGCCGTGATTCATCCACATGGCTGACAATCACAAAGGTTCTACAAGCTGCGGTACAGAGTTTCAGGATAAATCCCGAGGGGATTTGACTAACCTTATCAGATACAAAAGCTACAATTTTTGTTACATAGGTCTTGCTTTATCTTGGTCTTAACCATCCAGCAGAAAAGTATAAAAACAAAGTATAAGAAGTAAAGCCATACTATTATGCTGACCTGTAAAAGACTCAAATCAATAACTTCTGACACTGCCAGTCATACGGAAAACCCAATACTATTATGGACTACTGGACTATTTTGGAATATTTTGCTGAATTCACACACCTATAATATTTAAATGACAAAACTAAACAAAAAAAGGGGATAGAAATGAACAACCATTTTGTATCTGTATATTCAAAATAGTTAAGATAGATATACAGCTACATTCTCTTAATTCAGTGAATAGAGGGATTTGTTCTAATAGTGTTTGTAAGCAGGATATCATGTTTGCATCTTATACAACAAATAACCACTAAGAAAACAATATGCAATGTATTAATTATTGAAACTTCGCTAGTAATCGGTTTTAAAACTGTCTCGCTATTTGTTTCTCAATAAAATTATGGAAAAAAAATAAACTTATTAATCCATTTAACTGAGTCTAATATTTGATCTTGATTACAAAAGCACCTGAGTTAGGTTACTTCAGGCTTATCTGATGGCCCCAAACAATATTTTGCTGATCAAAATAAAGAAACTGCAATCTGCAATGAGAACAGAAAGACTTGAATTTAAAGTAACTCCCTTTTGGGAGAATATAAAATAAAACAAGTCGATATGTAGTAAGTGTTCGATTTCTTCAGGGTCCACAAAAGTTATTTAAAATATAATGGAATAGTTACCTTTAACCCTCTTGCCATGTTTAAAGCAACTTTTAAAATTATAGCTGCTGGAAAAGGACCTTGGCTGTGTTTATATCGCTCTTCTATTAAGTCATTTAGAGATTTTTCCCCTCCATACTCCATAGCAAGGCACATACTGCCATCGCTGGCTTCAGTAAAAGCACGGTAACCTTAAGAAAACATGACACTTGTTAACAGTATTTAAAAACAACAACAGTATTTAAGCATTTTACATTAATGAGATTGAAAACATGAATCTGGACTAACACACTGAAACAGCTATTGTTCACTTTATCTAACTCTGTAGTTCTAATGTAAAATGCCTGCAGTGATTACCATTGTACTCCAAATTAAAATATTACTGCTCTGTGCTTCCCTACTAGTACTAAAAATGCAAACTGGACTAAAGAAAATAAATAATAATAAATAAATGAAAATGCAAAATGGAAACAAGGAAACTCAGTGGACTAAATTAGCTACATTAAGATCACTGTACATTCCTGAAATCTTCATAGTACCAGCACTGTAATGACTTATCTATTCACATGAAATTTATATACATAACATCTAAAAAGTATTTTATGTGAATTTTTATTTTAGACTGTTCACATTAATCTGATTCCTGGCATCCTCAAGGCCCATCCTCTACATTTTTATTACTGAAACTAGTAAAGAGCATTATATTGTTTAGGTACACAGAGTATTATACCCTTTACTGCAACCTTTACACATACCCACAATGTTTGGATGATGAAGGTTTTTCAAAATCTTAGCTTCATCAGTCAGTCTCTTTTGATATATACTTCGATAGTGATCATTACATATAGGATTAATCTTTTTCACAGCCCAGGGAGAATGAGACAAGCCTCTTGGAGATCTAAATAACAAGAATCAGTATAGAAATGAATAAAATGTGTAACACATTTTCAAATGACAAAGAACTTCTTTATAGTAATTTGTTTAAAAAACAAAGCAAAAAGCAGTATTTAGCTAGACACAATGGTACACTCCTGTAATCCCAGCACTTTGGAGGCTGAAAACAGGAGAATCACTACAAGCCTGATCTGTGTAGTGAGACCTTGTAGACCCTGTACTAAATTTAAAAAAGAAAACAAAACAATATTTAAAATACTTTAGACAATAACACATCTGCCACATTTCTATTTCACCTGGAAGATAAGATTCATATATACTGGACTGGCGAGATAGCTCAGCATGCTAAAGCGCCTGCTCAGGCAAGCACAGAACTGGGGCTCAATCCCCGGCACCACATGCCACCCTCCAGGTGTGCTGAGCTGGCCACGAGTCCAGGCGTGGTGGACACACCTGTAATCCCAGTGCTGGGGAGGCTGAAAACAGGAGGATCACTACGAGTCCAAGCTGCGTAGTGAGACCCTGTACCAAATACATTAAAAAATTCATATATATACTGAGAAGTCTGATACTATATGGCATAAAAAGAGGACATGAATGGAATGTTACTAATATATCTTTTTTTTTTTTTTTTTTTTTTTTTTTTTTTTTTTTTTTTGTACTTTAGAGAAGGGTCTACAGGGTGTTCAGGGTCTCACTACTAGATAGGACTCGTAGTGATCTGCCTGTTTATAGCCTCTTAAGAGCTGGGATTACAGGCTTGCGTCACCAGGCCCAGTCTCAATCGCTGTCTAAGGAAGCCCCAGGGGCAAGGCCAGCACAGCAGGCCCCTGGATCAAACCCCCAAACACCCGGCCCCTGCACCTGCTCACAGGAGCTTTAATCCACTGAGCTATTTGGCCAGCCCAAATGTTACTAATTTTAAATATGAAAACTCCTACTCTCTTCTAACTTTTCTATTCTAACATGTCAGACTACTGAGTATTCTACTATATGTATCAGATATGAGTTATGGGATCTAATAATATAAACATTAGCCCTTATTAAGGAATTTAACTTAAAGAAGTGATGCTCAAAACCATGTGGCCTGTTTAATATCCAAAGAAGAGCATGCTATTCTTTACTAACAAATACTGTACTTCTACACAGGCCAGTTCACCTCACACCTTTCATCACTTGCTCAAGGATGGGCTTAGGAGAGAAAAATACATATATAGATAAAGAAAATGTACATTTTTTATATTCTAGTAGACTTCAGCCATCTTAAGAATATTTAAGGTATGTTTTAAGGCCTACATAAACAAATAGGTAAGACAAATATAGATCATAAAAGGACATAGAGAATAGTGAAAGAACTTCAAAATTAAAAATAAAAGTTTAACTCTAACAAAATAATACACTGGGGTCCAGGAGTAGCTTAGTGATAGGGTGCTTGCCTAGGGATGCATGAGGGCCTGGGTTCAATCTCCACTACTGTGCAAGGAAGGAAGGAAAAGGAAGGAAGGGAAGAAGGAAGGAAAAGATAAAGTTGATGAACCCATGACCTCTTTACCCTTAATCAAAAAGTTTATACTCAAAGGATCATAAGATTTCTTAAATCTTAAGAAATAATAACCATATCATGTATCATCTATAAGTTTATGTAAACTTCAAATAA